CGGGCCCACCCCTGCGGCAGGCGACCCCTGCCTGCCTGCCTCCAGGAAGACTGGGTGTGCAGTGCGATGAGAAAAAATCCTTGGCAGGGGGAGAAAAGAGAGGGAAAAGGAGATTTGTTGTCAGGTTTGTTGCAACCTCCAGCTCCTGCGTTTGGGTTTAACCCCTTTACTGGCTCTGATTTCTTGTCCATACCAAGAAGCGGTGGGGGGAAGGAAAAGAAATACGAAGGCTTTTTGGGCTGAAAGTGAAAGCAAGCATTTCATGCTCCGATTGCTGTGTTCAGACGAAGGCAAAAAGCTAAGCACCTAAAAGCTGAATAAACCAAGTTGTGCAGTGCTGACTCTGGCCGGGCATGTTGCTGGGTTTTCACCTCGGGAAGCTACTGCAGGGCAGGAGCAGTCTGGGACCTCCTGGGTTTGATGGAGCACCCTGAGGCTCAGCTCGTTCCCCTTGCTGATGTCCTTTCAAGGGCTGAAGCAATGGGGAGTTATTTAGGACTAACCCTTCCCTGAGTTTCTTTCTACTACGCCTTTCTCTCGGAGATAGGACCTGCTGAGGATGTAACCGGCTGCTGGTATAAATGGCTTGGGCAGGAGGGAGCGTAAAGGGACCACAGGTTTTGTTACCATGTTCACCAGAATTTCTGTAAAATGTCTTTGTTACTGGTGTGGACAGGGGAGACATCCCTTGTTCTCACAGATTCAGGAAAGACGATTACCAATTTAGGGAGATCACCACGTTACAGTGATGAACCGACTGCAGATTTTAAACCAATATCGGCATATGAAAGGCCTGCTGCATTTTTGCCAATCGCTGAAGTCAGTATCTTGCCACAAATCTAGTTAAATGCAGCCTGTTGGACGTGGCAAGGCAGCTGTGTGCCCACGACAGCTGGTGTGTGTCCGCCTGGCGCCTCCATGGCGTTCACTCGATGCCGCAAGCCGCCTCCGACAGCCTGGTACAATGGCCATGGACAGCGCTCAGGCGGGGTGGGTGTTTCTCCAGCTGCATTAATTACACACAGCATGGACACACCAGGTGGCTTAAATCAGTGTATTTACATCCGCCAGTGTAACTGGGCAGGACGGGTCTCTGGTTGGTGGAGCCACAGCAGCTAAGACAGACCAAGACCCGGCTCCCGGGATGTAGTGTGCTGGGTAAAGCCATCCCTGTCTTAGAAGACCATTTATGGTTTAGGAATGTATAGCAAAAAAAATGACTAACTTGTAAAGGAACAGAATTTTGGGTGAAAACAGAATCATTCTGTGCATTGCAGTGTTACTTCTGCTTCTGCTGTACCGGGAAGAGTTGGCTTCCCGTCTCCCCAGTATTAATGCCGACAGGATTAGGGTGACTTTAGGAATATTAAGCAGGCTTTCTAAGGGCTGAAGGGAACAGTGTTCCCAAGGCTCATTCTCAGACCTTCTTACATTTCTTTCAAAGCAAATGTTGGATGAAGTACCTTGCCTGAAGTGGAAATCCCCTCAAGGAATATTAGCAGCGCCTCATTTCGAATTATCATCTGATTATTACTGAACTCTGTGCTGCCATTCCCCCCCCCCCTCGCTTTATCTTTCCACAAGGCTGGTCACTGTGGGCTCCTGCACTTTTGCCATGTCAAAACCTCCAGGACTCACCCGAGGTTTCCCTCCCTTCTCCTGCCATGCCACCCCCTGTTTAGTGGTTTTACACAACATGCTTGGCCCTCTCCTGTGCTCCGCAACCTCCCTCGCCCCTCTAACCCCCCTTGCAGGAGATGATCTTGGCTCCCTCAGGGGAGAGGGGGAGAGAGGCCAGGAGAAGGACTGATAGGATGGCACAGCCGGACACTGAGCATCCGGAGGGAAGCGCTGGTGAAGGGTGAGGACGACAGGGAGACATCAGGAGGGCTGGGGGTGGCCGCAGAGTTCCTGCGGCAGAGGCGAGGGACCCCTGCGGAGGCGGGGGAAGCCCTTGCAGAGCAGGGCTTGTGAAACGTGCCGGGAGATGGCAGGCAGCTGAGGAAAGAGGTTTCATAATTTTCCCAGTGAAGACATGTCTGAGGGGTGGCAGCGTTTCCAGCCATTCCCTGGCTGGAAATAGCACC